CCCCAAAACCCCAAAACCCCAAAACCCCAAAACCCCAAAACCCCTGCTTAATTTTATACACTTGAAAGATTTCATTTTTAGTGGCATATTAAGGGAATAGAGAGGTTTAGGAATAATTGGGATCGGTTAATTGTAATAAACTAAACACTGAACAAGATATAGATATATGCCACTTCTATAATTAGGTTAAAGTTTGTCATAACATTCTTTATCTTTATTATAATATAACTATAGTGTCACTAAAAGAAGATAGGAACTTAAGAATTAACAAGTACATTAATTTAGCTTTCTACTTGTTATTTTTATAATTGTTTAAACAAGAACACAAGACAGTGAAACACGATGCAACTACTATCGTACCTTCTCAGTACTCCTTTTTAGCTCCATCTTAAGGTAAAATTAATGTCTAAAATCTCAATATCCTCTAAAGCTCATCAATTTTATAATCCCAGAACATTATTCAGGAGATATTTCATAAATTGAACCCTAAAATCCTCCTGTGTGTGCCTAACACTAAGGATGCCTATTAAGGATACCTATAACACCTTACCCATCTTCTGATAATCATTCATCCAATCTAGAGCTATCTACTCCTAAATTTTCTTCTGTATAATCCTAGAGGCTGTATCTTTAGCTACCACTACCTGCCAACATAAAAATTGAGCTAAACTATTGTCTGAGAAATCAAGATTTCCAAAACAAAAAAAATATACTCTTAAGGATATTTTAGTCGAAGGAAAATAGATTTTTGAAATTTTGTAATTTTAGTCAGATTTGTATTTTAGTGTTAATGCTCTTCATCGTCTGCTTCAAATTGACTCCTGCTGTTGAAATTTTCAAGTCCTTTGTTACTAGAAGGATCGTTGTTTTCGGGATATTGATCTAATGTTGGATTTGTGGGGGTCTGTCACTTTGGACATACCAAATCACTCAAATGAGACACCATTTTGTACCATCTTTTGAGTCAATGAGAATGAAATAAATGGCCGCATTCATTTGTTAAATGACACATATCTTCAGGTCAGAACTTTGAGAGGCATATTAAACACTTGGAAGTTTGATAGATGCGAGGCATATTTTCATATTTTCCTGAAAGCATTCAATCCATTGTTTCTTCATTATATGTTTCCTTTTCTTCTGCTAATTTATTTGAATATTTAAAGACTTTCTTCTTTCCTTTATTGGATGATAGTTTTAGATCAAAATTTCCTCTTTTACTTTCTTCAGTTGTTGTTCTTTTACAAAGAGCAAATATAACCAAGACAACAATGATAATCACAAAAATAGCGATCACAATGACAGCAATGATTTCCACCAACTTCTTGTTGTTGGTGAGCACGTTCGGAGTCCCCAGGTCTTTGCCTTCCTGTGCGATCAAGATGTCGTAATCGTTCCGATTTCTTCTCGTTCTGGTCCTGACGACAATCTCGCTTATATTGTTGTCGAATTTGAGAGAATAAGTGCTTTCTCCACAAGAAGTCAAATCTTTGTTGTCCACCGAAGTTAGAGTTCCTCTCAGAGTGTAGTTCAGACCGATTTCTTCATATGTTTGATCGTTTCTGGAAATTGTAATTTCTATGCTCTTGGATTTGTCTGTCTTTATAGTCCATTGACACATAACATTTCTAATATCTTTGACAGTGTTGTGTTTTAGCTCAATAGTTTCCCCTAACACTTTGGAAAGATCAATTGTTGAAGTGGAATACTCTGCTCAATTGTCTTCAGCTTGAGATTCATCGTAATACTCCTTGAAGAAAAGTCAGTCTTTTAGCATTTTTAAAGCCATGGTAAAAGTAACAATGCAGATTTAATAAAATATGTTAAGACTATCTCTCAAGTACTTATAAAATTTGTTTAACAAATCAACATACCATTTAATATTTTTCTCAAACCTAAAATATCTTCAAATCAATAAAAAAAATTTATGAAGTTTGAAAAATTTTGAAATTTCTTTTAACTTCTTTATTTCTTCATACAGCATTAAAGGGAAGAACTTTATAAAAAATCGTTAGCTGAGGTTGAATAAACTCTGCTTATTAACCTTCCTTCACTCCCAGACTAAGTCATTGGTAACTACTAGATTTGTTCATCCAAGAGTTAGGATCCTGATGCATCCTACTTATTTTTAAAGATATGAATTTTCTTTTAAATATTCACCTTATTCTGATTTTATGTGACTTTTGCGTACTGCTAAAGCGACAGAATTGATGAATAAAGAAGTTCGAGCAAGGCCAAGATCTGTAAAACTAAGGGTATGAAAGAGGACATATGCCCTTCTTTCTCCTATCTCTCTGAAACTTTAAGAAAAATCAGTGCTAACTTGAGAGGAATGTAGAACTATTAAATAAATATTGTAACTGTCATTTGGGTAGGATAGATATCATATTTGTCACACAAATATGTTTTGAATTTTTTCGTGGGTATTGGATTCGGAAGTCATTAAGAATATCAACGGTTTTGAATTGTTGTAAATTGATAAATGTTATAAAGGATTTGAGGGCAATATTCGTAGGAGTTAATGAGATTGGTAACTTCAGCAGATAATAGTTTAATTTTGAGTTTTGAAATTTTAGTTTCTTTAATAACTTGTATGAAAAATTTATCATTTAAACTATTTCAAATAACTATGTTAAGCAAGGCTCCTCAATTTTAATTTAAAATAGATATTTTTTATTTCACAAGAGCAACCTTAAACAAACTTAAAACCAATAGATTAAACTTACCGACAAGAAGATATCTGAATCAAGATCAGTTCATCCATTGTCTATCCAATAACAAGATGTCTCACTATTTCACACACTTCAGACCGGCTTACTAAATCAATCCACTGGCACACCACTCAAATCCCTTCTCTTCAACCTCTGACTTCCCTCATCACACATCTGTGCTTGAACAAGGCTTCCCAGAACCACCGCTATCACACCTATCATCATTTCTTCACTAAAATATTTCTATAATCTTCCTGTCCTTAGGGGTTTTGGGGTTTTGGGGTTTTGGGGTTTTGGGG